TTTTTTTTTTTTTTTGCTTTTTTATATCTTGTAGTTTCCAATCAGTCCTGTATGATTGCTGTTGTGCAAATGCAGTTTAAATGATGTGTAATATGTAGTTTAAGACGTGAATGTTTCGGTGTTTTATTTTCTTCAATAATTTCTGAAAATGTCAATCTCTCAAAATTTACAGCTGCCCACAGTCCAAAAAGGGGGTAACGAATTGACCCGAGAAAATTAAAGAATTCGGTTAACAGGCGACGTATGCCTTTTAATTCCTATCTTTTTTTTCCTTTTTTTTTTTTTTTTTCTATTTAATATTTTGAATGAGTAGGTAGAATGTGTTGGCGAATAGCGGGTTTAAAAATTGCATGGTTAAAGAGAGCCGTTCAGCTAACGTTAGTCAGCTACTTGCCTTAAGTGATTCTTTGGAATAGCTGCTTTGACCATGCTTTGTGTCTTTAACAGTCTGTAAAAGCATTCTGAAGCGGGGAGCCAACTGTCATAAAGTACATCCCTTTGCTAGAGAAGCTATTGATTTGCATGTTTACACAATTAAGTTTAATTTTGCTACTACCTGGCAAAGCCTTAGTAAAGTTCTGTTTAGAAAAGAAGCCTTTTGCTTTGACTGTGTGTTGCCGGTGCAATAAAGAGTTGAGGTTAGCGAAGGCGAAACATGACAATAAGCTGTACGCGTGACTCAAGTTGTCGTTCTGGTGCGGTCGTCTTTCGAAGGCGCTGAGCTGGTTCTCCTTTCTGCTTTTTTAGAGACGCGCGTGTGGTTAAGGACATGGCGACGGGAAAATCTAAAGGATACGGCTTCGTTTCCTTCTTCAATAAATGGGTAAGCTGCTGCACGGTCTCAAGCGCCTCTGAAAAGCAGACGACAATTTTTGGCGGCCGCTGAAGGGAAAGCGAGCTCTCAGTCACGATCTCTGTCCGGCCTCGCGGGAAGCTTTTCCCTCTGCTTGTCGCGACGCTCCGCTATCGCTTCGGTGCTTCTAAAGCATGTGGCGAGCGATGTCCAAGCGAGTGATGTACGGACGTGACAGAGTGAGCGACGTGTATCGTGAGGGTCTTGGATGCGCTCGGTGAGGCCTAACAGTGTCCCTCATCCTGCCTAAAACCCCTCCTTTTGAAGTAGGATTCTTTCGGCACATCGCAAGCGTCAGATGGGGTGGGCGTGTGGCACCGCCGCCGTTCATTCGGCTCTGTCGCCGAAGGAAGAGATGCCGACGGCGGGTTTGTCTTCTCTCCCTCTCTCATGGGCAGGACGCAGAGAACGCGATTCAGCAGATGGGTGGTCAGTGGCTCGGCGGAAGGCAAATCAGAACGAACTGGGCGACAAGAAAACCTCCGGCTCCAAAGAGTACATACGAATGTAGGTTCTCAGTTATTTGTGTCTGTGCAAACCTCCCGAGCCTGGGAGACTGCAGGAGGAGGGAAAGCGGGTGCCTTAAATTAGGTATATCGGCATTAGAATTTCTACGTTGCGGGTGCGCCCGATCCGCTGAAAAACTCTGTAAAATCTCTTTTAAGCAAACGCCAAACAACTGTCTTACGACGACGTGGTCAACCAGTCCAGCCCGAGCAACTGCACCGTGTACTGCGGCGGTGTTACTTCGGGACTGACAGGTATCGTGGCTTCAAACTGCCGTTGCGTTGAACGGCTCCGAGTACCACAGCGGTCGCCTCATTTCGCTGCTCTCTTTTCCTCCCGTTTCAGAACAGCTAATGCGCCAGACCTTTTCTCCCTTCGGGCAGATCATGGAAATCAGAGTCTTCCCGGATAAAGGCTACTCCTTTGTACGGTAGGCTGCCGTGCGGTTTGCACGTCGGTGAATTTAGTAACAAGTACGGGTTGGCACGCTTGCGGTGTCGGCAGAGCAGGGGTTGGCCACGTGCCGAACCGGAGAGGAGGCTTTCTCCGACTGCAGCCGGAACTGAGGAGCGAGTTACGGCTTGGAGCACTCTCGGCACGAGTGGGAAAAACCCCTTAACCCAGCCTAAACTGGCGCAGCGCCCGTCAGCGTGAGAAATCTCTCTCTGATCCCCCTGTCTCACGCCCCAGCGGAGTTACTGAGGCAGATGGTTGGCTTTCAGAATCTGTTCCAGAACTGGCCTCATCATCGACAAGGCTCCAGACAATCAAAAAATAATCGTAAATCGACCCGCTCTCCTTGCTGCTCACTTTCCCGTTTTGTTTAGGGAGAGTTAGGACACAGAGAGACAGGGAAAGTGGCCGTGGCCTCGCTGTCCCTGTGGCGGGGGGTGACAGGAGAAAGTTCCTGCTCTGCCAGAGCCCAGAGCTGTGCTGAGCTGGCGGGGGCTCTCTCTCGGGGTTACTGCTGCCCATTGTTTATATTGGCGTGACTTGTGTTTCGACAGGTTTAATTCTCACGAGAGCGCCGCGCATGCCATCGTTTCCGTCAACGGAACAACCATAGAGGGACACGTGGTGAAGTGCTACTGGGGCAAGGAGACGCCAGACATGATCAGTCCTGTCCAGCAGGTCAGAACTTCTCCTCTGCTAAAAACCAGGGCTTTGCTCCTTGGTCTTCACTAGAAACACGTTAAGTGGCTGTGAAGTCCGCATGCGTGCCGGTTAGAGACCCCGCGTAGCACGCGTGACCCGCGCCATGGCGCATGTCATCAGGGGGTATTTCTCTGAAGTGCAGCCTTTAAGTTTTAAATCCCTTGTTCGGTAAAACCAAAATGACTTGTTAGGTAAAAAAGCTCTGACCTAAAATTCTGGAGAAAGCTCGCAAAAGACTCTAATGAAGACTAATTAACTCCAGAGGGGCCTGCGTGGCCGTTGGAGTGTCGTTTCAGCAAGCAGACGGGCTCGGCAGGGGGGAGTTGACGTAAACTGCCGCCTTCTCGGGCACCGCTTAACTGCGCGGGTGTTTTGTCCCCGCAGAACCAGATCAGTTACCCGCCGGCGTACGGGCAGTGGGGCCAGTGGTACGGCAATGCCCAGATCGGGCAGTACGTGCCCAACGGCTGGCAGGTCCCTGCCTACGGCATGTACGGGCAAGCGTGGAACCAGCAGGGCTTTAAGTGAGTATTGGGGCTTATTTAAGGGAACATTTGGGCTTTTAAGTGAGCATTTGGGCTTGTTTAAGAGAACATTTGGGCTTTTAAGTGAGTGGGCTTTTAAGGGAGCCGTTTGGGTTTATGAGAGAATTTGGGGTTTTTTAAATGAGTATTTGGGCTTTTCAGTGAGTGAGCTTTTAAGTGAACATTTGGGCTTTTAAATGAGTGTAGGAGCTTTTAAGTCAGTATTTGGGCCTTGAGCATTTGGGCTTTAAGTGAGCATTTGGGCTTTTTGCGAGGGTTTTCCCCCCAGGGGAAGGCGACAATCCCTAGTGCACAAACCCCTCCTTCCTCACGCAGAGGCTTGGGGCATGTAGGGATCCAGGCCGGCTCCGTTTACCTCTCCCTCATTACGCATTTACCTAACGAACTATTTAATTTCCCCCCCCCCCCCTCCGACAGTCAGACGCAGTCTTCGGCGGCGTGGATGGGCGCCAACTACGGCGTGCAGGCGCCGCAGGGGCAGAACGGGAGCGTGATACCCAACCAGACGGGATACCGCGTGGCCGGCTTCGAAACGCCCTGAGCGGGAGAGGAGGACTCTGAAACCGGCAGGCCGCCGGGAGAGGAAACGTCGCGGAGCCTTTGTCAGGATTTATCAGATCAAGCGTCAGATAACGATGTATTTATTTAAGAGAGAGAGAGAGAAAAAAAAAAAATGAAAAGAAAAAACACACACACACACACCAAAAAAAAACCCACGCATTTTTAATCATGAATTGTCATCCGCGTTGTTTAAAAGAAAACAAAAAAAAAAAAAAAAAAAGAGAAATCACACAAAACGAGATGCTGGATGTCTGCCAACTTTTGCCTTCTTTTTTCCTCCTTTCCGTGTTTCTTAAGATCCACGTTTTTGAAACACAGCAAATGCAGGGACCTTCTGCCGCTGAAAACTGGGGCAGCAAATTGCACAACGTCGACCTTTTCTGTTCTTGGGGTTTGGGTTGGGGTTTTTTGTTGGGTTTTTTTTTTTCTTTTCTTTCCTCGGAAGTAGCGTGCCGTTCTAGTTTGCGTTCCGAACGATTTCAAATGTATTATAAAACAAAACCAAGAAAAATAAGAAGCCAAAAGCATGTGAATCCTGAAGCCGCCGCGTCTTCAGCCTTCGCACCGTCTGTTTTAAAAGAGCCTCTTGTATAAAGCCTCCGTCTCTCCGCCTTTGTTACACCGGGTTTTTTCAACGATAAATTATTAGTTTACATCGTTTTTGTATCTCAACGTGGTTTTCAGGGTCGTCTTTGCCTTACGGGAGCGAGGATTTCCACCCTGGGACAGCGAAAATCCTGTTACTAAAACGTGACAAATTCCTACGAACCAGCCGGGGTCGTCGTTTTGGGGTTTATTTTATTTTTTTTTTGGTTGTGTTTTTTTTTTTTCTTACCGATTTCTACATTTACATGTACTGATTATGTAAAATATTTTCGCAAATTAATATTTTGCACAACCGTTAGCCGCCTTTGTACGTTTCCTTATTTAAAGGTAGGACGCCAGGTCCTTGGACAGGAATTATGCCTCAAATCTTTTTTTTTTTTT